TAGTCCAAGTCACACAAAATTATTAATGGGGAAAAATTACTCTTGTTTTTTATTACATTTAATCTATGAATCTCGTTTGAATATGTGTTTTAATCAAACGAATTAACAGATCTTTCGTTCTGGACCAAAGTTTTGATTTACGAACGAAAATCCAGCGAATTCATCTTGATTAATGCAACGTATTACATCATTTGGTACTGGCGTTAACACTGGCTCCTCTTTCGTGAATTCCGTATCGAAATTCAATGCATCCTTAGGACTTTTCTGTAATTTAAAATGAAAATCGAAACATTTAGCATTGTCTTTTCGTTGGAACAGAAAATATTTGGGCAATTGATACGTACCACTCTAGGCCTGAATGGTGGTTTAACACGACGTAGTTCCAACGCCTCCCAGTCGAGATCCTTGAAAAATGCATGACCTCTTATTTGTAACTCATTACTAGAGCATCCCAAACGACGTGCCGGATTTTTTGTCATAAAACCTGTTAATTTGATAGTTATTTTAATCTCACATCATCAGCAATAATAGAAAATTAATTCGGACCTTTCAAAATTGATACAGCTTCACGGCTCAACCAGACGGGATAGAGAACGTCATCGTGAAGAATCGATTCGAACAAATCATCTTCGTTATCGGCTTCGAAGGGCGGTTGACCAGCCATCATTTCGTACATAAGCACACCAAGTGCCCACCAATCAACCGACGGACCATATTCTAATTCTTGTAAAATCTCTGGTGCAATATAATCGGGTGTACCGCAAAATGTGGATGTTAAAACACCATTAAGTATTCCCTCCTGTCGATGAATGTAAGGAACATTTTTCATTTAATTGCAATCCATATTATAATTACAATGTTTTTTTTTTCAATTTTACCTTGCACATGCCAAAATCGGCTAGTTTACAATGTCCTTCCTGATCGAGCAGGATATTATCCAGTTTCAAATCCCGATAAATAACGCCATGACTGTGCAGAAATTGTAATGCAAGTGTAACTTCGGCGGCATAAAATGCGGCACGACCTTCATCAAATTTTCGGGCCCGTTGAATTTGGAACATTAAATCGCCACCATTGACATATTCCATGACGAAAAATAATCGATCGGGTGTTTGAAAGCAAGAATGTAGTGCCGTTAAAAATGGATGCTTTGCGGCTAAAGCTAATATACGTTTCTCTGTCATGGTACAATCAACGTCATCGTCCTGAATGATGGCATCTTTCTTTAGCACTTTAACGGCATAGACTTCATCGGTGCCCTTCTTTTCTGCCAACATTACCTTACCAAATGAACCTTTTCCTAATACTTTTATAAAGTTGAAGTCATTAAGGCCCACTTTTCCACCTTCACTTTGAATGGCAGCGGTGAGATTCGACAGATTTTTACCACTTTTATTTTTACTACTGGTATTTGGTGATTTGCCATCTTTTGATTCATCCGCTTCGCTCGATGAACCAAAATCGGAGGATGCGGTCGACGATTCACCAGCTTCATTGGAAGCCTTATTCAAATATTTTGAACTTCTTGGTAGGCCTTGTTTATCGGGTAATATGCCGATTTCATTCAAAATTTCGGCCATCTCTTTGGTATTTATGCCACAATTGTTGGCAACATTTTTTTGACAACGTTTGTGCACATTTAAATTACAAACTTCACATTGTAATCCTTGCTTGAACAAACCGTACAACAATGATCCACAATGATCGCAAAATGTAAAGCGTTTATAATTATGTGGCAGAAAACGATGCGGCACATTCACACTGAATCGCTGAGCCTCATTCTTCGTTTGACAATTCTATTGAAATAAAAGGGTAATTCGTTAAATAAATACATTGATAAATTGGTGATTGATTTTTTATTGCACATACCTCATCTCGCATGCCAGGACATTTTGTTACAACCGAACGATGGCATCTTTTGTGCACGACACACGTACAAACTTTAAAATGAAACATTTCGAATTAATTTTATTACAAAGAGATTAAATCATGTTATCTATATTGATCAAACATCGAGAGCTTTTAAATAAATTCAAAATCCTGAACTGCTTTCGGCTACTTGATTTTAAAACGATGTGCTCTCGATGGTGAATAATCTACAAATAAATTGATTCACATAAAAAATAATTCTTTTGAATTATTCTTTGCAAACACACAAGGAAAGTATAAACAAATAAAAATCAATAAAAAATAGCTTATTGAACTCGGTCTATTTTTAAAATTAGTTCTACGAAATTTTATCTGCTGCAAGCATTTAGTATTGAAAAAAATTCGAATCGCTTTTAATATTGGATGCATAGATTCAACCAGTCCGTGTAATTGGATAATGATCATTTAATAGAATTCAAAGAATCAATGAGAAGAGTTGTTAAGGACGATTGAAGACAAAAGCAGATAATAATCTAACAGTAACCTGCTTATCTGATAGCAAACCTATTTGGACACTCCAAATTGGAGTCGAACATGGAAATGAGACCGATACAGAGGAATAGATAAAAAAATAATTTTGAATACAAAATGTTCAAATTTTGCTGTTTTTCCAAATTCGACTTTCCTCCAAATAGGTAAACGAAGCGATATTAATTGTTATCGTTATTTATTAAATTGAGTCATATTTATTAGATGATTGTTATTGATATTTAAATGAAACAATTTCTAAAGTGAATATGAACATTTTAAGAAGACGTTTATACAGACGAACGTATCATTGGATTCATAACATTAACAGTGTTTTTTACTAAAAGGAAACCTTTTTCAATATGTGTATCTATATCGCTGAAATAGAATATGACTTAATGAATTTCCTATTGATATTTCACTAAGCGAGAGCAGGAGATGAAATTCATTAAGTCATTTTCGTTTTCATCGACAAATATATTTGGTTCATATTCCTGGTAAGATTACTTTGAAGAGGCAAACATTCATTCTTGCCTTACGCAAGGTGTTCGCAAAAAATGAAAAATACACATTTTGCTTTTTCATCTCCAGATGAATGACACAGGAGTTGAGTCATCCAAACTATACGCCAAACATGCATTTTTATTATTCGTCTATTCAACTCTTATTGGTTGTCAATAAAAATCGGCACTCACTACACAAAGTTTATTCATTTTCTTCTTATCTCTTCAATACATATTCGAATAGGTTCAGTTTTGTTAAGTAAATGAAAAGAAATAGTTGACAAAAGTTATTTGAAATAAAAAAAAATAAAAACAAAAATTTACCGGTTAAATGAAGAATAAGCATTAAATCAAAGTGCGAAAAAAAGAAATAGAAAGAAATGAAAATTAAATTAAAGCATTTGCAATATTAGAAATTGATTAAATTTATGTATTTTTGCATTTGATTGGGATAATTTACCTTGACATTGATAGCCTTGTTTACCGATGCCCCTGTGAGCACACGAAAAAAGAGAAGAAGAATGTTACATTAATTTAATAAAGGGTGTTTTTAGGAGGTTTGTTTTTTGAATCAGACTATATATTTGGATTTTGTCATCTGGATAACATTAGGCGATGATATGGAGTGAAACCAATAGAAGTGAACTATAACAATCACTTCTATTGTTTTCATTTCGTATCGCCTAACGTTATCCAGATGACAAAATCCAAATATATTGTCTGTTTTAAATGGATATAAATCACATATTTTTTTTATTTTTATCATGTAAATTGCTGTATTCGGTAGAAAAATATCTGGCATTTATGATTTGAAAAATCATCTGGCATATAGTCACAATGGCCACTTTTTTAATTAAGATTTTACTCGAGAAAATATTGAAATAGCTCCAAAAATGTTTTTTAATACAACTTTGGTGCCAGAGGACAAACCATTGATATGAACCCATAATTCGAATTTAATATGAATTCTTGCTTTAAAATGAGTTCTGTAATTCCATATCTGATTTGCAAACTGAATTGTGATTTGGAAAAAAAAGTAAAAAATATTCAGAGACTTTTTGACGAAGAAAACTATTTAAAAGTGACTCTCGTCGGTGAGTTAACTAATCTAATGACCATCAATAGCAAAATCTGTTGAACGAATGAAAATAATTGGAATTAAATGTGGGGAAAATATTGGTGGGTCATGCGCCATTTGGATAAATTTTGTTTATGAAATAAACAAGATTATAATTTGATTGTGCTGAGTCGAATTTTGAATCAATTATTTTTGAACCAACACACACTTCAATCTGCGCTCATTTAAGTAGGCGACTTGAACACCTTAATTTCAGTTTCAAGATGAAAAAAATAAAATAAAATAGACGAATAAAAAATCCATCCATAGACTTCAATTTTAAAATTCCAGACAATATATTGAATTAACTGGTAGTTGAGCTGACAGTATGTTGGCCAGCTAAATGGGCTAAAACAATAGACGTTATTGTTTTAATGATGAATCACTTTTCTTGTTTTAATAGAAGTGATTGTTCATTAAAACAATAACTTCTATTGTTTTAGTCCATTTGGCTGGCTAACGTACTGTCAGCTCAAATGACCAGTTAGTTCAATATATTGTCTGTAAAATTCTGCCATTTGGTCATCTGCATTGATTGAAAAAAGAAAATCATTTTCAATAATTTAAAATGATGGTTTTTATTTACCAAATAAATTCTTTGCAGTGTGAACAGAATGTTGGTTGGCGCAGAAATGTTGCCATAAATTTGTGTCCATTGACCTGTGTGAGAAAAATGAAATATGTCAGAAATGAATTTGGACACGTTGTGACAATTGTTTAGAATGTCATTTACCTGATGTACACGTCTTCGCATAGCACCACGCCGCCGATTGAATGCGGCACGTTCCTTGAATTCTGCTCCGCTGATGGCTGTGGTTTTTGGAATAGCACCACCTTTTGTATTGCTTTGATCTAACGAAAAAGACAAAATGCGGACAATTTTTTAAAAATTTCCTAATATTTTCAGTCAATGTTCAATTTTATTCCATACATACCGTGCCATTTGAGTTCAACTATTATGTGGATTTTTCCGTGTGGTTCTAAGTCAACCTGATTTGAAAGAGGATTAAAATACATTTATTCTCAATATTTGTACATCGGCGAGAATAATATCGATGGTTTTTTGCAATTTGTATTCTCACGATAACAAATAAAAAATTGTGTCGCTCACACAAAGATTCTTCTTTATCATTTGAATAATTGAAGAGTTAAAGTCCATTAGGAATGCAATACATTCAATAAACCGTGTAATGCAACTTGCATGAGTATGCAAATGGAAAGTTTGTTATTACTATTATTTTTATTTTTGTAAATAGGCTCAAATGATATGCCATGTTGATGTAGATCACGCGACGACAGCAATAATAACGCTATTGTAATCTGCGAAACGGAAATTTGAATTATATTCAACGAAATTGATTGAACAACTACCTAGTCGAGGAATCATTTAAAATGATTTGCAACACGTTTTTTTAAGTGTCTTATTGTGTGCAGTTCGCATCTCAATTCAAACGAGATAACTGAAATAAAACGCTAGATAATTTTGATCATATGATTTATAAGATTTATACTAACTGTGTTCGCAATGCATCGAATTTTGTAGCAAAACATATATATGAGAAAAATCTTTCCGAAGAGAACAACGTTATCATTCACCAACGCTATCTTTGTTTATTTTGGCTGCACTTTTGAAACACAATACACAATGCGATAAGCATATTTTACTCATTCTACGATATACAGTACTTCAATGAGGTGAGAGAAATATCTTCTTCAATTAAAATAATCAACATTGATCATTTTGTATTTCGACCCAATTTATGCGATCGATGCTCATTTATTCATAGCCTATTCCAGAAACTTGTTCAAGTTGTTGTAGTGTTATTTACCCAAAAATCCTGTTGTTCTTTATCACGGTGTGCTAAATCTTCAAATGCTATTGTACAGTTGGCAACAAAATCGTCTGGTGGTATGGCCGCATCATGAAACACCGTCAAACCGATATTTTTTGCGTTGTTTACTTCGTGGGTGAACGTCTCATTCCAGCACGGATCGAATGTTTTTCCTTTGGTGGTGGAACGGTCTGCAAAAAAATGGATAAACAACATAATAAGCGATTATCAAAACGCTTTTTTTGAACTATTTTTATGCATTTGAAGAGTCTCAACCCCACAATGTTCTTAAGAAATTCGGCAGCACACCCATACACAAAGACATGCATAGACATTATAATTTTGAGAAAAGTCTATCCAATTATTTAAAGTAGCATTTGCCCAATATAGAATCAATTTTCGAAGTGATAAGAAGATTCATATGGATTAGCAGCAACAGTCTAGTCGACTTGCATATTCTCGTTAAATTTAAAATAAGAAAATAACGAATGAGAGTTGTATTAAACTGATTTTTTTTTAAATTAGCAAAATCGTAATTTTCCCTCATTTATTTATGGTAAAATTCCATTGATCGAATCTGCTGTCTTTTCCATTTAAATGCTTTGGTCGAATTTGGTCGAAATTTTGTTGCACAAAAATATCTCTAAAACCAAAATAATGCTGACATATTTCGAATTCAATTTGCTCATCGAAATCACTTTCATCATTTGGTGTTTACTTTAATATCATTTTTTTTTATTTACATTTTGCGGTTGTTAAGCGCAAAAAATTGATTTTAAAATTAGTTTGCAACAACTTGAATTTTGAAATCATAAATAAACGAAACATGTAGAGAGCGGTCTGCGTGACCTAATTCTATTCGTGCCGAACGAACGGGAGGGAGTGAGCGTCGGAAAAATTAATATAAACCTATAACCACATGCACAACACAATTATTGTACAGGCCGTGGCAACAAACATATTTCATTTTGTATACATACACCGACATACACCATTTTAACAATTTCCGAATGAAGTTTTCGGCTTTAGTTGGATGGAAAAACATTGACCATTTTATTCGACAACCGTGTGCGGTATTTCATTGTGGTATGTGTTTTCTACACTATTCGACTTTGTTAATGTCAAACAAATTAAATCGAATAATCGCATTTTTGAAACTTATTTCCATGGAGTCATAAACATTGTCTCAAATATTCTCGCTCACCCGCTCTTTCTCTCTCCGCCGTTCATTACAAAGACTCGCAATTACCAACCGCATATTCAATCATTAATTGCATTGAAAGCAATAGAGTGCTTCCGATAAAAATAAATTTACTTTGAAGCCTACCATGTATCTATCATGATGTCCTGCATAACACAGTCAAGCATCACAATATTCAAAGGTTTTTCCATGTTTTTTTTTTTCTTCTCAAATAAAAATTGTTTCGTGTAATTGCATTTAATTCTTTATGACTATGGCATTTAGTGTGCAGAAGTCGTTTCTGATTTGAACAAAATTAAAGGAGCAACAAGGTGAAATATTTGCTTTTCAATGACTCAATTACAAGTTGGCATTTTAAGTTCACGTTAAGTGAATAGTGTGATTGGTTTAATGAAAACACAATTAAAGAAGCAAAAAAAATGCGAGTGAAAGTAGATTCATTTTGCGCAGGACAAGTACTAGGCTCTCATGTCATATCTCGAAAAAACACATCAACGGAATTGAACCATCAAATGGAAGAGCTGTTGATTTATTTATTTTTGAACTGTAATTCATTTTTCTAAAGTATTTGTTTAACCGCAGAGAATTTCGAGATTTCCAATAAAAAAAGATGATTCTAATCGTATTATGTCCGTATTTTCCATGCATTACTTATAAATTCGTTTTATTAAAGCAGATCATCTGCTGACGAGCTTTTTGCATCTGCGTATGCTTTGTACATTTTTTTTATTTTTGTTCCATAGAAATGGTTGGTTTTTCTTCGGCATGTTTTTTTTCTTCACACTTCGTTTTTCTATTTGTTGTTTTTGCTGTTTTTCAATCGGCTCAAATTCCTACACATTGTGTCACACATGCATACTGTTCAGTGCGAAAATTAGTTGATGCCTTACACAAGAGGTCAGTTTGGACACGTACATGGATTCATTGTAAGCGTGTATAAGTTTGATTGCGGCCGATATGCTTGTGTGAGTGTGAAAATTCATTCCATATTGTGGTGGTATGATCTCCGATATAAATATAACGAAGTTGATACACACGGACCTGAGAATATTTGCAGTACAACAGCAATAAAATTGGGCCTGTCGCTGTTTGATTGAATTGAAAATAACTAAGAAGCAATATTTGCACAGGGATAACACATTCACTACACGCAACCAATACGCATTGTGAAATAGGAAAACAGAATGCGCCAATACATTCGAATTTTCCGTGTGACTGTGTATGCGTATGCGTTTTAATGCGTGTGTGTGTGAGAGAGCGAAAATGCTTGGCTGTTGTGGTCATCGTTATCGTTGTATAGCATTTATTCGTAGCATGAAAAGCGATTGAATTTTACTCAACCATATATTTTCACATACTTTCACACTGCATAAGGACAGAGTAGTATAGCATATAAGAGAGAAGCACAGAGAGAAAGAGAGCCTTGTAACCCACACTGTTTCGCAGTTTTTTTTCTCTCGATTTTCTACTATTGCAATTTTGAACGCCTACGAAACAAGAAACCGTCAAGAAAATGAGAAAAGTGGAAAATGTAAACGGAATTAAGGCAATCAAAATACAAAGGGAATATACATATATGAACAACCGTATAAAATATCTACACACAACGAGATTTGTGTGGGTTCTTGTATATGAAACCTTTTCCTCGCTGTGTATGCCTGCGCACGTGTGTGTGTTCGTATATATGTTGCTGCCAAAATACGGATGTATTGGAATTTCGCCATTGGTACTGCTCTCTCTCAACATATTTGACTGGATATGTGGTTGTGCATATCGATGAAAAATGGGTGAAGATGGAAAAAGTTTTCTCTACAATTTTCCATACATGGAAAAAAGTGAGTGACTCGCTTTGTGAAGAGCGTTCTCACAAGCTTCTGTCGTTCATTTTTTTTTTTCTCGATGCAAGAAAAATGAGAAATGTATGCCATTTTGGATTCGTATCCACACTTTTTTTTTTCGAATCGATTCGTTATATCCTGGCCATAAATTGGCATCGATGCCATCAAAACGAATTGCACTAAAATAGATGTAGACTATGACACACTATTTCATTGACCAGAATTGAGAGCAAAAACACACGAATCGACTAAAATAGATTTTCCTTTTATAGAAAATATGGGGTGTGTATATGAACGATACAGTACAATGAACAGCATATTTTTCATTCTTTTTTCTTTTATGCGACTATTTAAAATTTGTATGTTTTTATGGCGAAGCAAGATTTTTGAAGTGTATTGTTTTGTTAGAGATTTTGATGTGAGTTGTTTTCGAGCCACACAAAAAGGAAATAGAAAAACATCTGAGATTGAACTTACCAAGGTGATTTTCATCAACATCGATGGAGACATAAGGATCGATTGGCTGTTCTTCTGCTTTGCCAAAAGTCATATTGTGTCTTCTCTGGAAATCGGTGGGTCGCAAACCACAAGCTTCGCATATTTTCATTCGTACTGTTCCCGTAAACATGTTTAATGAATTGCAATTTTCTTTCTCGTTAATTAGTCGAAATGTATAATTATCTCTTGATTCTATCTCACTGCTTTACACTAATTAAATACTTTTTCTTTCTTTCTTTCTTTTTCATACAAACACTTTTTATCTCTCATCAGCATTCGATTACCACACACAACTATTCTACACTAGATTCTTTGGTTGAAAGCGATTTTTTTTTTCGTGGGTTTCAATTTTACAGATTTTACATTCCGAAAATGTATCGAATTATAGGTGAGGAAATACAGGTGATGGCGACAATGTTACCATTATTTCAGACTGAAATGAATTTCAAGCAGTGGCTGTTTTTTATTTTTATTTTTATTTTGCCTCTCTCTACTTCTACTTTTTTGTTGTTATTTTTTTCTTGTTATACGATGCTTGCTATGCTTTCAAAGACGAGAATAATCAATGCACCAAATTATCACTTGAACACTGTGTATCGAAAATTGAGATGAATGTGTGAAAAAAGAAACGAATAATAAATTGCACAAAACACACACATTCGATTTCCGCACTTGAGTTCTTGATGCTGAAAATATCAAATGTGAAACAAATCAAAGAGCACCATCAAACAATTCGACAAACATTTTTTTTTTCAACTTCTTCTCTTTCTCACTATTTTCACGTTGATTGCTCGTTTTTTTAACACCGTGAAAAAGAAAATATATTGATTTATTTAATGAGTGAAATGGTAAATCGACGATATATTTATTCAAGTGATGTCAATCTATTTTTCTTTGACCTCATCGAACTATTCCATTTTCAATTGAAACAAACAATTTTAATACATTCGACATCTTTTGCCTTTCAGCATACTTTTTCTCTGTTCACCTTACAACCACGTACTGCTTAGTATATCGTTCTGATATCAATAACGAAGTTATTCTTCACCCATACTCACCAGCACATTGACATTCATACAGCTCGCGCATACGAAGCACACATTGTCGCGCGCGCCTTATGTACACCTTCATTACACAGACATATTTATATCGATATACGATACATACACACACACACACACTGGCTCTGCTCTCATCTGGCTAAACATACAGCTACTCATCTCTCGTTCACGCTTCAAAGTTAGCATTAGATGGACGGATGATTTTCCATTCCAATGGGAGTGTGTTTGGAGCACGAAATGTTGACATTACTACACATAAGGGGGGAAATGCATTCAATGTTTCCACTTCTACTTCATAGTAAGATTCAATACAGTATGGTTGCAGAATATAGTCATAAGAAGAAAGAGAAAAAAGAAACAAAGACGATGTTGTTGTTGTTCATGTCATTGTTATTTTCAACAATAATCTGATTTTAGAAAACATTTGTCGACTAGATTAAAAGCTAATATAATTTTTACAAGATTAAACAAAAGTCAAATTTATTCAATTTTTATGGAAAACGATGCTCCACAACTACAGCCCATTTCGGCTTTTGGATTGTTAATGATGCGAAAGCCCGATTTGATGAGTTCATTATGATAATCGACGGTTGAACCGGAACAATAGTCCAACGACAATGTATCTATGACCACTTGACCACTTCCATCGCCAATCAAAACATCGTCTTCATTCACCTTATCGTCCAAATCGAATAGGTATTGAAAGCCTGAACAACCGCCACCATCAACAGTAATTCGCAGATACTTTTTATTTTCTTTCTCTGAAATTTCTTTTAATTTTCTTGAGCATGATTCACTTAAAATTAGCTTTGGTTTGTCATTCGATTGTTGGTTTGTCGCCGATGCAGTCGATTGAAAACGGTGACATTGATGATTATCAATTCGTCCACAATAGTTATTTCGTAATCTGTTAACAAAATTATTGCGCTTGAATTCTGTTCACAAATAAATGAAATTGAATTCAACGTTTTAATGTACCTTGGTGCAAAGTATGCAATTTGTTGAATTGCTCTTCTCATCTTAGATGTTGTGCGTACTTTTTATTTGATCTTATTCTAAAATTTTAATTTCGTCGTATCTAAACCAAATATCCAATCATAACAACATGACTGATTTCACAATTTGACAGATTCAATGTGTTTTGGTATTTATTTTATTTTTCGAAAACAATCGAATGCGTTTAAAGCAATTCTAATGATTGAATGATGTCAAATATATCGGGCAACCCTAAGTATAAACGTCAATCACAAAATCATTCGACAATTCACTGCAAAGAAAGAAAGAACAAATAATAGAGTGAAGCTATGTTGGTTATTTGTAAATTAAAAAACTAAAAATCAGTATAATTTTTTTTATAAAATTTTGTTTATATTTAACTAAAATCGCTAACGTTAAACCAATTCGAATTAACAAAAATCAGCAAATCAATCAATCAAAATGTCTCGACATCGCATAGTGAGAACTATGAATTATTCGGAAGGTATGTTTTTTTCCACTGAATCATTAAGCAATTGATTTGTTAATGAGTGCGTGTGTGTGTGTATCGAAAAACAAAGTTATTTGAAATTTTATTTTGTCAATAGAATATGATGAATACGACGATGTCTATGGTAATTCGGTGGATGATGAGTCGTGCATATCGCCGACTGACGCTCAACAATGGATGTATGATCGAGATCGAGGACAACAGAGTATTGCATCATTCATCACAAAAAATCATGACATCAAAGAAGAATCAGATGAGGAAACCGAAACGGTAGCAGACGAACTACACAAAAAACTGCGCAGAGACTCAGATGTAATGAATTTAATTTCAATTATTTTTCCACTTTTCACAACATTCATTCAATTCTTTTCTCGATGTCAATAGAATTTTAAGATGCCCACTCTAAGCGATGACGATCAAGTGTTATTGGAATCGTGTATGGATGAAATTCGTAATGTAGTCGGCGATACACTGTCGCAGCGAGAGCTAGTTGAAACGATAATGAAAAATAAATTCGATTGCGCCAAAGCATTAGATGCGATATTGAACAATGCCACATCTGACACGCCAGCCACATCGGCCTCCACACGGGCGCCAATTGAAACAGGTAATTATCAATTGTCTCAATTTTGCTATTGTTTTTCAATTCATGATGCGCACACAGTGGATGCAACTGTGCCTTTTATTGTTTGCATTATTTATTTTTCTTCTCGCGTTTCTTTGTTTTCATGTAAATCTTCATGTTTGGCCAAATCTCGATGCTATTCGTTATTCAAATCATTCTTCCATCCGTGTGCGTGCGTGTGTGTATGTGTTTGTGTGTTGCGAATTTTGGCAAAGGTAAGACTCAAAACTATTATCCCTCACGGATTTGTTGAAGCAGCGCAGTTCGTCATCAGTGAATTGTGGTGCTGGTGGCGGTGGTGGTGAAGTGAAAAAATTTAAATTGCCGAGTATTTTCGGTCAAAAATCCACTGAAACCATCACACTGTCACCATCGACCACGCCACGTTCAACAAAATTCAATAATTTATCCGAATTGGCAAGTGCACATTTATCCACAAATAAATTGACAAACGGTTTACAAAAAATGAGTCTGTCAGAGAGTATAAATATTCCAAAATCGTCAAAGTTTGTCATACCAAAATTGAATGGCGGCGGCAGCAGTTCTGTATCACCAAGTTCACTTGGCGATAGTTTAACTCCGCATGAAATGTCGCTGAAGAAAATTATGGATTTGAAGCGATTGCACATTTCAAAAGATATTGAAAATATGCCACCCGAACACACACCAATCAATTCAAATGGTTCAACATTTACGGAGAAACCACAATTTGCAATTGATCTGGCGTCCGCATTGAATGGGCCCAATTTTAGTAGCTCAATTATTGCACCAACTAAACACATTGTTGAACAAATCGATTTTAAATTTATCGATTGTGACATTGCTGAAAAGACAAATGTACAGCCTATAATTTCACAAGACTGTTGCCTTAATATTGCGCATATAGTTGACAAGCATTTTGATAAACGTACAAAATGTACCAGTGCATTTGGTAAAATTCTTTGTTCACAGTACAAACGTAAAAGACAATTAACAATCCAACATGGATTTGTTAGCAAATATCAAATCAAACCGTTTCGATTTGATACAATTATCAAACAAAAAATCAAATCAACCAAATAAGCAGATTTTTTGTTTGTTTGTTTTTTTATTGAGACATTAAAATATAGATTTAATTTATTATTCCAGAGAATCAAATCTCTCTTTAAAAAAAAAAGAAATCGAGTCCATTGTTTTTGTCTCTTCATTCGGATTTTTGCCAATTATTTTGTGTATGCCAAAAAATTCAATGAAAACGAATAAACTGCTTTTATCTTAACAAAATCTCGTTTGTTTTTTCTTCGCATTTCGAAATTGTTATATGCTTTTTGATACCAGATCTTATTAAATACGATTGAGTTTATATTTTGTGCAGGTATTGGATCGAGATTACTTGAAAAATCTCAAAAACAAAATCAAAATCAAACGCTGCAAATATCGGCAGTTAAAGCAACACTCGATGTGACAAAAAAAGGATTTGATATCCAGTCACCACGAATTCAATCACCGGCCGTATCCGGAAGAAGTACACCGATCGGCCACCAATTTGATGATGGTTCGAAATCAGCACAAAAAACCAAGGAACAATCGATGCAAGACGCCAAAGAATTATTTGAAAAGGAACGCGGTAATGAAAAACCACACATTCATTTAGTTGTCATCGGTCATGTGGACGCCGGGAAGAGTACACTTTTGGGTCACACGCTATTCGATATGGGATATGTTTCACAGAGGACAATGCATAAACATGAACAAGAAAGCAAGAAGGTTGGAAAAATGAGTTTTATGTATGCATGGATTTTGGACGAAACAAACGAAGAACGTTCACGAGGCATAACAATGGATGTAGGTGTACTCGTCTTTGAAACCAACACAAAAGCAGTCACTCTATTGGATGCTCCAGGCCATAAAGATTTCATCCCAAATATGATTTCGGGCGCCACCCAAGCCGATAGTGCATTATTAGTGGTGGATGCTACTAAGGGTGAGTTCGAAACTGGTTTCGAACAAGGCGGGCAAACAAGAGAACACGCACTTCTAGTGAGGTACTACTTACGATTTTATTCATTTTCTTTTCAATATTAATAAATTTTTTTGTATCATTTCAATCGCATCCTCAAGGTCATTGGGAGTGAGTCAACTCGGTGTCGTTGTAAATAAAATGGATACAGTGAATTGGTCAAAAGAGAGATTCGATGAAATAGTTAGCAAATTAAAGGTATTTTTGCGACAAGCCGGATTCAAAGAGGCTGATATTACCTATATTCCATGCTCTGGAATGTCCGGTGAAAATTTGGTGAAACCACCAACTGAATCACAACTTTTATCCTGGTATAATGGACCAACACTCATCAGTGTGATCGGTAAGAAAATTCTAGACACATTTCATTTATTTGATGGAAAAACTAACCTCATTCCAAAATTGTTGCAGATAAATTTAAAGTACCCGAAAGACCGGTGGACAAATCGCTTCGTATGTCAGTTACAGATATTTTCAAAGGAATATCCGGTTTTTGTGTAACTGGCAGAATCGAAACTGGAATACTGCGACGGAATGACACAATTTTGGTTTGCCCCATCAAAGAGCAAGCCACTGTAAAGCAAATCAATATTGACGAGACCAATTCGATTGTAACTGCATTTGCTGGCGATCAAGTTACAACAACACTTTCGGGTATTGATGCATCGAATATTACCGTCGGTTCTGTTATTTGCCATACGAAGGATGCTGTACCAATTGCAACGCGTTTTCAGGCTCGAATTATTGTGTTCAATGTTAAAATGCCAATCACAAATGGTTATCCAGTCGTTTTGCATCTGCAATCGCTTGTTGAAGCAGCTGTTATTGTAAAACTTAAATCGCAATTGCACAAAGGCACCGGCGAAATAGTTAAAAAGAATCCACGTTGCCTAAGTAATAACTCATGTGCAATTGTTGAGATTGAAGTAAGCAGACCAATTTGCATTGAAAAATATGCCAAAATTAAAGAGCTTGGACGAGTTGCTTTACGCGTTGGTGGCGTTACTATTGCTGCCGGACTTGTCACCAAGATTATGAAATGAATACCATTTTTGTATACCAACATATTGTTTCGCATTTTCCAACAATAAAGATACGTGGTTCAATGTGTCATCGAAAAATAAAATCACTATCAATGCTTCTCTATCATTTGGATTAGTAGATGTTACGTTTCACTACAATGTACTATAAACACTCTAAACAAATCCAAAAGAAATATTTTCAAAATTGACATTATTTTGAAGAAATTAAATCAAACGAGTGTTTCTTTTTAGCATATATATATATAAACTTATTCACATCAATTCGACAAAAATAAAATTTAGTTAGGTTTTTGTATTGGTTTGAGTTATTTGAGTTAAGTCTGGCCAAAATCATCTAAAATATAACGGTGATCTCTCATTTCAATGCAGCCAATTGATCACTTAACGATATAACTTGTTCCGTGAGCACACTGATTTGCTCCTCGTAATTTATTCGTGTTGTAGCCTAAAACGAAAACATTTAATAATTTGAACATAAATGTAAAGTTTCCATAAAATCTCACTTACCAAATCTTCATCGGCTAAATGCAAATTACGTTGTGATTCGCTGAATTTTCGCTCCATTTCTTTGAGATCACTATTTAAAATGGACAAATGCTTTTGAAGTGAATCACACTGAAAGAATAAAAACACAAATAATCATACATATCCCGTGATGCGCCAAATAAAATAATATACCTCATCAACGTAAGTTGTCATTTTTGATTCGGTCAAACAATTTTCCATCACTAAATCTCGTATTTTTTTCGTGTAATTATCTATAAGAAGTTGTTCGCTAGCCGTCAGTGTGGTCGTTGTTTTTTCATTTTCCGCATTGGTATTATTATCGATTTTATTCTGATCGACACTAATCGCTTTGCAGCTATCTAGTTTATGCTTCATTTGAAGTAATTCACATTGTGTTCGCCAATGGACTACATCCTTTTCGAGTGCCACAATGCGTTCGTCGAATTTATTGTTGTTACAGCTGTTTATTGATTTGTGTTGCTCTAATTCGGACACATAAAGTGTGTCGTCACTGCCCACAATACTTGTAGCGTCAGCCAGTTTTGCTTCTAAATCATGTAATTTAACGGTTAATCGTTCAACCTCTTTGCGTAATTTGGCTTCGGTATCGGTTTGTTCGGCATTCATCGATCTCAGTAGATTTTCCAATTCTCCAATGCGATTCGCTTGCAACTGAATCTCTGTATTTTTGTCGGCCATACTTGATGTCAACTGTGCACATTCGAAGATTTTCTTCTGAAATTCTTCGCTAAGCACTTGAGACGACGATTCCGTTGACATATGTGATGAATTTGTATTGGCTGTTTTGTCTTTTGATTTCGAAATTTTGCCACCCTTTTTCGATGCATCCTTATTTAAATCATCTTGTAGGCTTGCAACACGATGCTCCAATTGTTTATTACGAAAACCCAAACTATCTATTTCCTGTTCTGCTCGCCGTAAATTTGTCTCATTATCTCGAACCGTGTCTCGTAGTGATGCACTTTTGTTTTGCTCTTCTTTTACGGCATGCTTTAAGACTGAACAGCAATTTCGCAACTAAAAACAATCAATTCAATAAAATAAATAACAAATACTTTTTCTTTTATTCGATTTGGGTATTTTCTACATACTTTACTATATTCAGCGGCTAACTTCGTGTATCGTTCTTCTAAGTTTGTTGTATCCATTGTGTAAACAGGCTAATTATAAAACGATGCTAATCTTCAATCACTAAATTTTGTGCAATGCCACACTAAATACCAATAAATTGTTTGGGACTGGAATGTTTGGGATATGTTCTGGATTATAGAAATGTTACAATTAGAGCCAAATACATTGACCGAAAAAAATGTGTGAAAAAAAAATTGCGTTAAGCCAATGGAAAATAGGAGGTGGTTCAGTGAGCTAGATTAGTAATAATAATTATTATGTGTCACAAATACAATTCAACAACAAATCATTGTTGTGTACATATTCCAATGGGATTTCGATGATGTTCCGAAAACGCATCACTTTGACAGTTCACATTCAACCATGACAACTTTTTTTCTCAACACATTTTGACATTTCTATCCAACCGTATGGTTACGACAACTTGAAATCTTACATTGGCAAACGGCAATCATTGGTGGAAGGATATTTTATTAAAATTGAAATAAAATTGAGATATTTTTATTCGCATAAATGTTGCATTGAAAACATCATGTTTACAAGAGCTGTAGTCAAAAGTAATTTTGGATTAATAAACCAATCATGTGTGTGTGTATAGTAAAAACTTATCTAACCTCAAATGTTATATTCGCATTACAGATATTCCAAGGATTGGACAAAGATTTCTTCAAACTGTGTCTACGAGCAAGTATGAATCGAAGACTGTTCACTTGGAACCGATAACTCTTAAGCCACTCAACATTGCAAACCTTTCGAAATGCGATGACAAATTATTCGAGTATCAGTTCGCTGCTCTAAACATAAACAATGGCAATATCATACCGCCATCAATTCAACCGCCCGCTCCAAAGCAGCGCATCGACGAGCCCGGCAAGGATGAACGCAAAAATATCGATACGCCCGTCTCAATCATTGTGAATGAAATTATCGATAGAATCAGCGAGAATAAAGGTGACCTGGATTGTCCGCCGTTGGAAGGTCAAAATGATTTTATTGAAGCGGCTGTTATGATTGAAATTCGTCGCTTGAAAATGAAAAGACACAGATACAGAAAGTTTCTTAAAAAATTTAAGTTTGAAATTGCCAAACGAAAATTGGCTCGCCGAAAAAAGAACGAGAAAATATTTCAAGCTGAATTGCTTGCAAAAATTAATGCAGCGGAGAATTTTTCAGCGGAAAAGTATGTGACCGATAAACTCAGTAAGATGAAACATGTACCCAAACCAAAACCAGAGATTGTGAGCATCTTTTAACATTTCACATCTAGACGAAAAATCTTGTTTAAACATTAATTTGAGCATAGTCTACTAGTAATATTTCAAATAAAAAAAAAATTTGATTACAAAAAAATGTGAACTTTATTAAAACAGTTAAACAAAACAATAACAAATTTTAAAAGAACGAATGATATTAATGAATGAATTAAATTCATAACTGATTACAAATCTTTTGCCATCACTGTTCACTGGACTGACTTTGATCCGTTTCAACTTGTGAGTCAATCGATTGCAGTTTTTTCTCGCATAATTTTTTGATTTGGATTTGATTTGTTTTCTCGGCATATCGTAGAATGCGACGAATGTCCGCCAATCGTTTGTGCTGAACGGCAAGCAAATATGCAGCTTTTAATTGGCTCGACAATATGTAACAATCAATTTGGATGGATACATCGGTGATTGAACGAATCAGATTTTCAATGGCCAATTTAGTACGTTGTGGACTCGAATGATTACTAAGCGAAGTTTGTACAGCCAGCTGAAGAATGTCATTGCACAATTTTGTGTCCGGTTGATTGCAATTGCTTTTTATGCAATTCACCAATTTTTCTACATCATGTAAACGACCATTAATTGCGAGATATTTGGTAGCAATTGCATAAATTTTATCACTATTCAATGTCATATCTTGAATGATTCTGTAGGCCAAACCGAAACCTTCTTCAACATTTGCACCACAAATTAGAATGAGCGCCACCAAAATGATTTTATCCTGCGTATTTTCAAACAATGTCGGTATACGTGTGCAAGGCAACAACGAAATCTAAAGAAATGAAATGGTTATGGTATCATTTTCTTTAAAATTAAAATATGAGTTCAATTTTGATAAAACACACCTTCGGTATAAGATTAACGGTGTTAAAGGTATCCTTTCCATTTTCTTCGCATTGGGCCAAAAATTTCGTGGCATCTATCTGTAGCCAAATGGTATTGATGTGGGTGTTTAGTGATTTCGAGTCCATTTTCATAACGAATGATTGATGCTCATCGGAGCGTCTCGGTTGTGCTTTAATCTCTTCCCATTGACACAGTTCCAATTCACTTTTCAAATGCTGTTGAGCGTTCATCAAATGATGAATATTATTGCGTAAATCCTGATATGTAACACAATCCATTGTATAAAATCGTACACACGTCATACTAAATGCGAGCAAATGATTTAAAGGATGAAGAAAAAAATTAAATCTTTAAATATTTTCTTTATTACCTGGCTCTTATCGTATCTTTTAGCAGTAATTGCACTTGATACAAACTATTGAGCAACTTTCGCTTTTCGAGCATCAAGCACATTTGAATTATATAGTCTTTCCAAATCATAAGCGTTTCATCCATGTCAATCATATGTTGAATGATTACATTTAATCGGCCGCTCTTCAAAGATGGTATAATTATCGTTTGAATGAATTGATCGGTTGGAATGTGAAGGAATAGGGAATATTTAAGTGCTTTCGTGATTTGTTTATATTTTATTAAAAATCGCAACACATCAATGTGTCGCCCATAACTAACGAGATAATAAATGGATTCCGTATAGAAACGTGAATGTAAACCATGTTGTTCATTGTCCGACCCAAAAAGTGAATTCATATCTTCGATTCCAGTCAAACCGAGCGTTCGATGCGTTTTAACCGAATAAATGCCATGTGAAATGTGCTTGAGATTCGATAAAGTGTGCAAAATATTAACAGCCGGCTCATAGACTGGTAGCTTTTCTTTCTTTCCAGATCGAAGCGATTGCAATGAACGATTTGATTGCGACAACGTTGATGCTTTCTGAAGTACATCGGAACTAATTGGATGGCATGTCGTTTCCAGAATTGTTAAAATCTCAGAAAGAAGCGGTTGCACTTTTGGCGAACGAGCTGTCGACTTGAGATTAAATGGTTTTTGATTTTTGATCGTTTGTTCATCGGTCGTTAGAAATTGAATGATTTGCCGGCGATCTTCTTCGCACGTTGTCGGAATTAAACAATGCACCAACTTTTCACGGGCTACGAATTTAACAAAAAGAAAAATGTCCATTTCAAAAACGATGATGGCAAGAGAAAGAGAAATAAAATTCTTACCTGTTTCAAAGCAACCACCTTTAATGCAATTAATACCCCACAAAGCCAGTATTGCCGTTTTTTGCAAACCCGATTTTAAAGAAATTTCAATGGCCAAACTAAACTTTTCGGCAACCAATAAATTATCGCGTAGTGTCCTTAAGCTTTTCATATTGATTGATTCCATGGGCAGAAATGATTCGCAACCACTTTCAACGACAGCATTGATGATTTCGGCATGATCACGGATTTTCATACATTCCGAATTACCACCATGCATTTTTGCAGCAAATGACAAGCAATAGAGTATACGCGTGACAAATGCATAGTCAACCTATATATAAACAAATTAATATATGTATAAGAAATGAAAATAAAATGAAATTAGTCTTAAGAATAATAGTAATTAACCCTCGGACAGATTCAAATAACCAAATTAAATGAATAATAATAATAGTAACCTCAGGATTTGCTTGTCCTGGTTTGAGTGGTTTCAATAGAGCTTCAAATTTCTTCGAGTAACTGAGCAAAAAATCGCAACAAATCTGACCAGGTGTATGCATTGAGATGAAATTCAGGCACAATGATGCGCTGGGAGCGTATTCAAACGAAAATTCTTCGCGCAGCAATCGATCATGTTTGAGATGTCCCGTAAATCGATACATCCATTCATTTCTACTACTTATTGGTTGATTATCCAAAATCGTTGAAATTGATGATGACGGTTGTTGTTCTGACTGTTTTTCAACGGCATTTTCCTCATTGGTCACTAGCGCTTCGTTGGTTTGTCGATCACAATCATCACAAACACGCACCAAAATATTTTCGTATAATTTCGGAATGGTGAAGCGTTTGGTTGAACACGAATGACAGACAACTCTGCCACATCGACGACAATGGTGTCTTCTATTTAACATTGTGAAAATGGTTCGTTTACAGCACATACAATGCGTTGCTTCATCATCTTTGATCCATTGAGATTTGGCAGGAGCTTCGCGTGGCATTATAAATGATCCGCACACTGAATCCAAACTGATGGTTCGTTTGGGTGTGGAACCTTCTTGCATTACACTTCCACCACCAACGCGAAAATCAAGTGCCTTGGCTGCATACGTTCGCAGGATTTGATCAACACAGTGATCACTAATTGCATGACATTTATAGTCTATAAATGATGGACGGTCAATTTCGCTCGTAGTTTTTTTAAGATGATTCGAACCCGATTCCATCGACGACGACGACGGCGGTGGTGGTGCCTCCCTAGACATTGTTGAACATATTGAACATTCATTTTTCTTAATATGCGGTCGAATAGTGCGAAGAATTTTCATCAGCGTTTCAAATTTTGAGTTTAAAATGTACTGTTCGATTATTAAAAGTGGTGAGTCAATAAGTTCCCATAATGTGTTTGCTTCTTTGGCATCAAGTACATCGAATATTAGCAATGATATTTGGTAATTTTTATAAGTGTAATTATCATTATTCGAATTTTCAATCAAAAAATTCACGAGATACTGTAGCAATTTTCGATTTCTTAGTTTAAGCAAGAGATTCGAGTCCATTTGTAGCACCATTAATTTCAATAAAACTTTACATACTTTGATAAAATGTTCATTATTATTGTCTTGATTGTCGATGATTTTCGTCGTAAAAAGATCTAAAAATTGTGGTTTTATTACCATTGTCAATGGGATCGTTTCAATCCACTGATAACATAATTCATATTGATTACGTTCAATCAACGAATAAAGCAAACGCTCTGGCTCCACACGGCTAATTTCCATCACTTTTGTCCAGGCTTCGTAAATGTAATCGGTTATTGTTATTGCTCGTCCGATATTTGCATAAAGCGTAACATCTGATAGATACTTTGTGAGCTGTTCAATTTCATTTTTGGGCACTTCATTGACTCTTTCGTGTAATAAAATCATTCGAATCAGGTGCAGAGCAAGTTCATCATCACTGATACGATTTATATGCTTCAACAGTGTGCTCGACATTAATGGGATATTTTTTATATTTTCAATCAGTGAAAATGTTTTCAATTCTAATTTTTCGGCTTCTTCATTCAGAATTTTTACAATTATTTCGTCTTCGATGGCCCAGATTGCCTCCTTGTGACGATGCAAATGTCGCTCTTGAGTGTATTGAAGAAGACTCAATGCCAATCTACAGGATGAATGAATAAAAATCATTTGATGGAAATTGGGCATAGAAATGTTTTTTTTTACTTACCGATACTGCTTCTGTTCTATTGACTCTCTGACCAGATCCATTTTAAAGGAGTCCAGGTTCAATGCGGCTGTCATATGATCGATATCTTCGCTTAAAATTGTTTGAATGTTCAATTCGTTCATTTGTCTCATGTTGTTCAGTAGTATGCAATTTAATCGCATTTTCGGATCGTCATTTGGATCCAATGGTTCGATGCCATGAATTTCACTCAGAATATAGGCAATTAATTCACTGAATATAAGTACATAGTTTAGAATGTCGTGTCGTTTAATTTTAAATGGTTTTCGTAATGTAGCTGTTCTATCACATTCGATGTATGTATCATTGGTGAGTATTTTTAGAATTTCTCTCAATTCATCGTCCATATTCAATCGGAATTTATCACACACCGAAATGAGTTCACAAGTATTTTTCGTAATTACATGTAAGAGATTCGTATTGAGCTTGCAAACAATGGTTTCGATCTCTTTCAACGGAACAACGGTATTTTCATCAAACATTATTTCCCCGATTAATTCAAATAGATCAATTTCTAAAATTTCTTTGAGACAATGTCGATTCGTATCCATATCAGATGGATGCTTAAAGTGAATCAAACGATTCATGTTCATTGAATAGTTGAAAACATTTTGCAGTAAATTTTCGCCTTTTCGATTGAAAACATCGAAATCAATAATATTCTCCATGACACTGTTTCGCGTTGCAAGCTCATCCAAATTAATTTGCTTTTGTCGATTGAATGTTTCTTCTTGTCTAAATATCTGTATCGCTTTCATTCCATTGAATACATAAAGTTCGTTAGATAACAACTCTTGAATGCATATTGATTTCTCATTATGTTGATTGTAGACAATCAACGTTTCAAGAATTTGTTGCATCATGCCGTAGTATCCAATTCGATTCTTATATGATTCAAGTGGTTCATCCTTGTCGCAATATTTCGATAACATATTGATTAAATTTGAACAAATTTCGGCATTCGAAATCAAACTAAGTGCGACATCAACGATTGTGACTGCTTGCAGCGCAAGATCACGATATAACATCAAATATGGATAATTTTGCATGAAACGACCCAAAATCTGTGTAGCTTCGTTCGATTCCTTGGGTAGTTCGGATAAAGAATTTTGAACCAGATTTATCATTTGTGTCGAATCAAAATCGATGGACACAAGTTTTTTGATCTCTTCGATTGAATAATCCAATTCCAGCTGGCCAACCGCGTTGTTCTTTGGTATCGATTGTAACCATTTTTCCAGTGTCATTTTTAAATTGTTGAATTTTTCAAGCACATTCACTTCAATCGCAATAGTCGAGTCGGTTAAGTTGTGAGCCTGAAAAATAAATTGAAACGCATTCCATTAATTTGAAACCGAAAAGAACTTATTTGTTAGGAATATAATTACTTTAATAATATTTTTAGCTCCATTTAAATCGCCACGTATCACCGAAATAGTAACCATATCGGTGAGTTGTCCCAACATTTTTGCCATGAAACCGCGTCTCTCTCGATAATTTACCGGTTTGATCATTGAAATATTACCACAATCAAATGGTATAGGACCATATCTGGATTTTTCTTCGATTTCCGTTGAGTTGGCAAATGTATCGCTTTTTCCGGAACGAGACGATTTAGACGATCGCGATGACTTTTTACTCGAACTCTGACGACGCGGTTTTCGACGATAGACTGATTGTTTCTTTAGTATGGGAATTGTGCACTCTTCATCATCGGAACTGCTGAACATTTTCCTCGATGCCATTTGTTGTTGAAGTGATGTAAGCATCAATTTTAATTCGGATGGTGCTCGAAAGTAACTTGTTGTCGAATAATACAAATCAACTAATTGAAATCGCCATTTGGCGTCAGCAATTGCATTAGACATACGTTTAAATCGTTGCTGTAACATATCATTTAATTCGTCTGTTTTACGATTGACTATAGATGCAGTTAACGCATTTAGCATATTCTGAAGAACGTTGAACGAACAAGTAAATCCATTTTTAATATTCGACTGAGCCGACGATTTCTTTGCAGCAGCACCGCTAGATGTATCGGATTCATTCGTTATCGACGTCGATGTGTTCTCCAATTTTCCATTGCTAAACACACGCATACTGACATGTTCCCATCGTAAAAATAGCATTGTAAAGAGAAATTCAACGGTTTCAATGTAATCGAATGGATCATCAATGATATCGAGAATTTGCTTCACCTCAGCGCACTTTGTGCGGACAATATCATCATAGTTTCGTGTCATCGGTCGAATCAAAAGTAATTCAATCAATAAATAAATGCTATAAAATTGATCATATATATTCACTTCAGATGCTTTGGAACTGTCTTTTTCAATATTTGGATTGATCAATCGATTGAATTTGCCATTTTCGATCAATTGTTTTCTTACCACATGATAATCACTTGTGGCTTGAATCATGCTGCCTTCGTTGAATTTCACAAAAAAATCCAAAATATTATACTTTGATGCAAGCACTTTGATTGCAATCGAGTCGGATAAATTCTCATATTTTCGATTTGAACGAACAAAATGATGTAAACTCAACATTCTCGCAAATTCATCATATAAAATCTTTTGATTATCACTTAAATTAATCACATCGATTTGTTCAAATAGTTTCCAAACTTCGTCATAGAAATTAAAATCATTGCTTGGACGATTCGGTTTATTACTAATCAAATTACTCAATTTAATTAATTGTGATACATTCCGCATGGATGATGATTCAACAATTTCTGGGCTATCTTGAATAATCGGTTCAAAAAAATGCGTGCTTTGATTGACTGCCACAAAAAATGCTGTCCGCTTTGTATATGGATTTGCTTCGTAGCTCTGTTTCACAAAACTATTGTACGCTTTCAGCAGTGGCATTGATTTGCTACCCATCAGCACCAATGGCAATTCATAATATTCATCTGTGTCGATGCGCCGAAAAATCGAGTTGTAAACGAATGTCTGGCATTTTTCTAACCATTTATCTGACAGATGAGCATTAATCAGAAAACTGTATAAATTGAACTTATTTTCGGACATTTGCTCGGCCGAAAATTCCATAAATTGTAAGAGCGCTTCATAGTATAATTTCATATAAATGTACGGTGAGAAAGATTGAACAATTTTTGTCATTGGATACGGATGCTCAATAAGATTCGCCAAAATATATCGATGCGTTGATGATTTAAACAGTTTTGCAATATCTGTTTCACAGCCCGGATTTTCTAGGTAATTTCGCATTTCCTATGAAACAAACAAAATTAATAGAGCGCATTTTGAATTTTCTCCGACATTTTAACACTTACAAAGTATACATCAGCATCCTTTTTTGGTAATAGATACCAAAATTTGTCAAAATTATCCATTTTCATGTAATCCCAATCAGAGCAAATAATAACAATAACTGATCTAAATATAGAGTAGCACTTTGTTCACTTTCACATTTTACGCATTGAAAATGCTATCACTAACAGAAATGTAATAAACACTTTGATTATGTATCACAAGCCTAACAACATGCCAATAATGTAAAATAATATTTTCTGTATTTCACTATCACATATGATTCATTGTCGTCTCATTATGCGATTGAATGTCGCTCCATTCAAATCAACAAATAAAAAACAGCTATACCAAATCAAAACGGAACTGAAAAGAGATAGACACGCGATTCTGATTAGTGACAAAATGGTCGGAAATTAAAATATATTGTTATCTATGCCATTTAAGTCAAAACATTTTGAACGAATAAAAAAATAAATAAATAAATGCTAATCATAGCTGATGATTTGTATGTTTGTTATTGTTTCGCATACAACGTAATCAGTTTGTTGTGCTATATACTGTCACTCTGACAAGTCGGTAGACGATGACAGTTGTTGACTAGTGGGACATGCCCTTTGCTTTCAATTTGTTGAAATCATCGTCGATTGAGAGTTTGGAATTTAAACAATTTATTTGAATGATTTCTGTCTGAAGCGGTGTATGAATGGTTTTACTGGGACTAATTTTCGATTGAAAATATAAAAGGAATTCCATATCGTAAACGTTTCGAAAGTCAATAGTTTCCTGAACAATCTTCGTACATAATTAAATGGATTTTTCTTCTTTCTTTCAACAAAAAAATCGTTAAATAATTGAAAATATGAAACATGAAAAAGAATGACAATAAATTGCAAATAAATTTCAAGTGGTAAACGAGTTTTAATGTAGTTTTAATTTATTTATTTATAGAAAATTGTGTTACAAATAATATCGGAAAAAAAAAATCGATGGGACAGGATCGAACTCACGACCAAACAATTACACGGTCAAGTGATTAACCTCTCGGCCAAGTGAGATTCATGTTATGATTGGTTTGTTATAAGAGTTAGCTTGTTTGTCATGCGTATTTGGACCAACTGTGAATGAAATTTTTACGTTTTCGTAGTAAATTTGCGGTAGATAATCTCGTTTGTCGTTCGTTTATTGTTTTAGCGCATCACACAATCACCTCTTCTGTAGCCTAGCTGTTACAGCAGCGACCGCTATAGAAGAGTATTGGGTTCAATTCCGGATGATGCAAAACAAGTTTATATTCGTATATTTGGGATTGCGAATATAAACGCACCATTTAGAATTGCTTCTGGGGGAAGAACTTAATTGGAGGACGGTCATTTACAACCAAGTAAATATCAAGAAGAAATACATATCAAATAAATTCTTTTGACCAGAATCCAATTAATTCCTTTTGCAAAAAAATTAACTTTATTTTTTTTAAATTATTTTTCCTTCAATTTTCCATCAGTTGAGTCTGGAATGAATAATTTAAAAATTTATTAGGGTATTTTCATATATAAGTTAATTCACAACTTACTATCTGATCAGCCAGATATTTCAACTAAACGTTTTAACCAAGTCTTCGTTTGTCGTTTGAATGAGTTGAACTGAAAATAGATAAATATATTAAATATCAGTTACTAAAGTGTTATCCCTGTAAGTGTATCGTTTAAAAGACATCCTTTCACTAATTATTGAAATTTAAAATCCTATCTCCTAAAATTGCTTAACAGTGTAATAAGCTAGGTGTGCGGTGTGATGCAGTCCACATATTTTTAATTTTATTTTAATATTTACGTTTTGTCAGTAATAAAAAAAAAAGTGACAGTGTTTAGAATAAGTCACAGTCTAGTTGGATCATATAAAGTTTTCTGTGATAATTATAGGAAATAAGTTAAAATACAAGTTTTAGTGTACGAATTCATCAATTATCAATCTTATGTACCAATCTGATTTTTGTCGCGTTATTAAACAGTGTACATAAATTGAGATTGTCATATGTACTTACAATTAAACAACAACAAACAATTATCATGAATAGCAGTATAAGTACACATACGTGCAGCGACACATGTAAAGGGAGATCATCATCAAATTGCTTCCAGTGCAAAAGAAAAATTTTCCTGAAGTGTTTCGCCATCGACAATTCATTAAGCCATAAATTAAGCTCAAATGATTCGGTAATTCGACTTGTTTGTTTGCCGTGTCAGAAAAATCGTAGACGCATCTCATTAAATACATCTACCTCCACTGATAACAGCAAAGACATCAACCTATTACTTGATAAGGTACAGTTAATTATTGATAAGATATCAGTGGAGACGCCTAATCTTAGCCAAGACACATCCAAACCTGACAACAGCAACTCTGCTGATAACACAACGTTAGATAACATCTACAAAATCCTGTTAAAAGCCACTGACAGTATTGCTAAACTACACACGCAAGAGAATGAAAAAGAAAGTGTCCAAAAGCTGACAAGTTTGATCGACAAGAAGATCATTAACTCACATAACTTAAATTCGCCAAAAGTTCCAAATAAATTTCAATCTAATTTACTCGACTGGTCGATGCAAGACACATCGAATTTCATGGCGAATAACGAAGTAACTGGCCAACAATCTATTATGGTTAAGCAATCAATTGATGACGACGTATTAAAAATTCTAAAAAGCTCAGATGAAACAACATGGTTCACATTAGATTTAATCATCAAAAAACTAAACGAGCAAAATGAAAAACTTGAGTCCCTCGTACGCAAAAGCGAAATGAGAGACGAAATCCTTGCAACAGCCAATTCTCCAATCATTTTAAATTCTCCGCTAACCACTGCTATCCAGGAGACAGCAAATTACTCGATCTTAAATGAACGTTCAGATAATACTAACTTAATTGAAGCACATGTTGGCGAGAATCCTTGTGGCACGGGGGACAGCAATAAAATAAAAGATGCAATGTCACAAAACAACATTATACATATAGCAGAATCGTCTAAAAATAAGCAAAAGAGTCTAAGTACCGCCCTGTCAGCCACTTGGCTCGAATCCAACTATGTGCCATCGTTGCAAATGAATCCTAACATCATCAATAGTCAAAATATTAGCAACACATTACAAATGGAAGCTGACGTCATAAATGCACTTGATTCACTAGAATTTTCCGGCACAGAACAACAATTATCGCCTCTACAATCCAATGATACTAACACCAACTCAAATCAACTACAGCAAACTTACCAACAATTTGAAGCTGCTAGTCTCTTCTTGAATGATGCATCTGATGATGTCCTGAATTCAAATGTTCTAAGTTTCCCAACACCACTACACCCATCGTCTTCATTGGATCACAACAAAAACGAATTTCATTTATCAAAATTTAAACCGGGTACATCATGTGAAATGATAATCGATTACATGAGGAAAAGAGGGGTACCTGATCCGCTTTTGAATAACGTCAAAATAACACTTTTGGTACCCAAGAACAAAGACATAACATCACTGTCCTTTGTCTCCTTCAAACTTGATACATGCATTGACGTAGCTAATATAATTAATAAACTACATTTTTGGCCACAATCGTGTAACATAAAGGAATTCGTTCAAAAATCTAAACCGACGATTGATTTATCGGGTAGTGCCAATTTGGAAAGTTCCTTGGCATCAAATTTTCAACAGCTGGCCCCATCTCAAAACGCCAACCAGAGGAGGGATCACGGAATGTTGTTGACATAAATTCAATTAGAATTTTCTTTGAAAATATCGATGGTATATCGAATCATAAATGCCCTGACCTTCTTTTATCATCATCATCCACAGACTATGATATTCTAGTTTTTCTCGAAACGTGGCTGGATCGTCGAACTAAAAACACTGAATTTCTGGATCGACAATTTACGGTTTTTCGTAAGGATCGTGAATCAACATCTATTGCCAACACAGCATCTATAGGTGGAGGGGTTCTCATCGCGTTACGCAGTAACATTCATTGTGAAGAATACTCAAATGATAAAATGGAAGGTTTAGAGGCAATCTGTGTACGTATACCAACAAAATCGGGATCAATTTACACATATTCATTATATATTCAACCTTCAGCTTCGATTGATATTTATAAATCACACTTAGATGCAATTGAGGCACTCTTATCAGTGATAAACACTAATGATACAGTGATGATTTTTGGCGACTTCAACCTTGGAAGTTCCACAGTTTGGCTCGATAATGACAATGGCACCGATTATATACCAATCATCGGCGAATCACAATCTATCAAATCAATTATTGCCAAAGAAACAACATCAAGAATGATCAACTGCGGTCTCTATCAGATATCAAATTTCAAAAACAAATTTGGAAATGTCCTAGATCTGATATACACCAATAATCCTGAATTAGCTATATTAGATAGGGCGGATTTTCTTATGATACCATCATTTAAGAGCGACGATGCTCATAATCCACTTATGTGTCATATAGACTGTTCACCGTGTATTGAGAACACGAAATCATCTGGATCGATATACTGTTTCAAGAAAGCAAATTACGGATTGATTCGGGATCACCTAGGGATGTTGGATCTAAGCGACCTGTTGAACAACGGTTCACTAGACGTGAATACATTAACATCATATCTTTACGATATTATTTATGACACATTTGAAAGGTTTGTACCATCAACCTTAATCAGATCATCATCGAAACCAAAATGGCATAATAAAGAGCTATCAACATTAAAAAACCGAAGAAATAAAGCTTATAAACAATTATGTGAACGCCGATGCAATCATTGTTCTGATACCAACATATTTGAAGAGAACTTTTTAAGATCTCGGGAGAGTTACGAGTCATATCGAAAGCAGTTATTCAGTGATTTTCTCTTAAAACAAGCATCGTGCTTAAAAAGCGATCCCAAATCATTTTGGAGGCACATCAACAGCAAACGAGTTTCCCAATCAATACCATCAACAATCAACTACGGAAATCAACAAGCTTCCTTAGACGCTGATAAGGTGAACTTATTTGCTAATTTTTTCGAAAGCGTTTACACCAAGCACACTAATGAGGAGTTAGATATCAATGACTTTATTAGAGACCGGCATGACACAAACTGTTTCAATATTATCATAACGAAAGAATCAGTTCATACGGTGCTCATCTCAATGGATCTATCCAAAGGAGGTGGACATGACGGTGTCTCACCACTTTTTCTACGAGAATGCGCTGATATTTTGGCTGAACCGCTCAGTATAATTTTTAACAAATCTTTAATTGATGGTATATATCCAAATACATTTAAAATTGGCCAAGTAACACCCATTTTCAAAAGCGGTAAGAAAACAGATGTCAGAAACTATGAGGGTGTTAATGTACTTCCTACCCTTGCAAAAGTATTTGAAAGAGTTGTCTACAATCAACTGAAACTCATTATTTCACCAAATATCTCAAGTACTCAGCATGGCTTTGTTTCAAATAGAAATATTGAAACCAACTTGATGGAGCTAACGAGCCACATTCACAATTCATTCGAAACTAAATCACAACTTGATGTTTTTTATGCCGACATAAGTAAAGCGTTCGATACAGTTAATACTGCAAAACTTATACGAAAAACTTCAAGCTTTAAAGTTTCAAATGCTTTTCTCTACTGGCTACATTCTTATCTAAGTGAACGTACCCAATATGTCAAAGTGGGCTCTTTCAAATCTCAACATTTCAACGTTTCATCGGGAGTTGGTCAGGGGACTATTTTAGGACCCTTACTTTTCACTATATTTTTCAACGATTCGGATGTTCAAATTCCTGGAGTTTATAGCTTGAATTTCGCTGATGATAAAAAGCTAGCCGTTGAAGTCAATAATCAAAATGATATAGTCAAACTACAAACTGCAATCAATTCATTTCTGAACTGGTGTGATTTGAATGATCTAAAGGTGAATCACTCCAAATGTAAAATCATCTCATTCCATACTAAAAGAAATCCGGTACTCAACGACTATATAATTAATGATGAAACAATCGAAAGAGTGAATGAAATTCGTGACTTGGGAGTTTTGCTGGATAACAAATTGAGCTTCCAATCACACATGGAATTTATATGCCATAAAGCTAATTCAGCTCTTCAATTTGTCAAACGCCAATCATTTTATTTTGACAATAGCATCATAAGAATTTTATATATGGCTCTAGTTCGATCAAATCTGGAATTTGCAACTTGCATTTGGTCGCCGCATCTCGTCACCCACAGAAAGTTCGTTGAGCGTACTCAAAAACAGATAGTTATGCTTCTCAATGGTGATTATCTACGAAAACTGAATGGTGAATACTTTCTGCGGCCATACATTGAGAGATGCGCGAACTTTCAATTTCAAACTTTGGCCCGTCGACGAGTCAATACGGTCATTCTCTTCATGCATTCAATTATTTCTGGTAAATACAATGCACCGTATCTTAGATCACAATTAAACTTGAATACAGGAGCTAGATCATTACGAAACCCGGAATTCATACGCATCAAGTTTTGTAGAACA